TTTCACGGCGCCAACCGTCGCCTCTTTACCATTCAGAGCCGTAGAAGGTGTTTGAGAGGCGGCGGAGATGCTTTTGGATGGCGTCTGGCACTAGTCTGATGAGTCCCGGGAGGTATCGCAGGCATCATTCAGATCACCCAGCTCTCCCAGGCGCTCTAAGCGACTGAACATGCGCTGAACATCGACCGACAAGCACATCTGCGTACGAGGGCGCGTTTCCCTGGCTGAGGCAGGGCTGGCGGGGGTTTGCGCTGTGACGGACGGCCTCGCTCAGATGTGACTCCGGCGAAGAAGCCAGAGCCGTCAGGGTACTCGGGACCTCATACGGAAACGTTTCGGACGGAGAAGGTTCGCTGGGATGAGGAGAGAGTGGATCGAGGGCCCAGCTCTCGTCCACCGCCTCGTCTACAGCGCATAGCAGAGGAGCGAACAGGTTGTTAGCGGCCAGCACGGAGTCGGCCTCATCGTCATCGCCGTGCGACGCTGCGGCACACGACACGTCCTCGTGGCAAGCCAGTCGACGATGGCCTCCGTACCACTTGAGGGACGCGATGGCGCGGTTGACGTTCTTCAGGAACGGTTTTAAGGCGTTGGGGGAGGTTTGAGCCGCGTAACGTCGTGTGATTCTCATGGGCGTTGCGGCGGGAGCGGGAGCAAAAGAGAAAGGAAGGGCTTTGGGTGAAGAGGCGCCCCGGTCAGGTAAGGTGTCGACGATGTTTAGCGGCGTGCGAGAAGCGAGCTGACCTGCGAGCCGCAACAAACGCCTGAAGTCCACTCGGCCTTGGATGGTCTGCACAGGTATGCGCCCTACGACAGGACCAGTCAGCTGTCATCTGAGAGCTATGCGTGAGGGCGAAGGCCCTACCAGTAGTCGGCGCAGGACCGGCCTTCGCAGGACCGGCCTTCGCAGGCTCATCGGAAACATCGCGCATGACGCCGCCGTTTAGATCTTCCTCGGCAGTGCGGATGCCTGTCATAGATAGTAAAACATATGACAGCAGTACTAAGGAGTGCACGCAAAAGTGAATGAGGTTATGCGACCGTTATTCCGCCGCCGCCGAATGCCTGAGCTGCACACATCGTTAGCTTTTGTACCGCGCCAAGAAAGGATTCAGGCCTCGACGGAGAAAGTATTCGTCTGTTCGTCTCGCTGCGCGCCCAACTTCCCTGGGAACAACATCGCAACAGTACTTTCTGTGCGCGCAGCGAGACGAGTAGAAAAACACGACCACCGTCGAGGAGTGGAGTCAAAAACAGCACTTTACGCACAGTGGAGCTAAGATCGCGCGCCTTGTTTTGAGGAGCTGAAGCGCGTCAGTACATATCAGCAGCACTGTATCAGACGTATCTCACCGATAGAAGGAAAGAAGACGTCAATGCGCTAATGAGCGGAAGGGCACAGATATATGAGGAGACGGAAGAGAATTACGGAGTCGCAGTAGAGTCGCGTATGAGTCTGGCATCCCCGCACGTGAAGAATAAACCGGATCATCGGGCCGACGCCACTCGGGTCCACTGCAACGAGCGCTTTACATACGACCCGACCTTTGTCTCCCTCCCAAGTCCCTCTTCCACAATTTTGAGCCACACTCTGTGGACGCACTTGTTATACAAATCCTGAAGTGTCCCATACATGAATTGACGGAACCAGAGACTAGGGCAACCATGCCAGTGGCGACGTTAACGAGCGTTGACGTAGACAAGCTGCGCATGCCACGCATGCCACTACGTATACCGAGCTTCTCAACATTTGCACTACCGTGCGTTCGCTCAATGGCACCACTGCCACTATAAAGCTAGGAAGGGAGTGCAGTAGCACTTCCTTGTGGTTGTTCAAGACGCCGCTTAGCATCACCGTACACATCAGATTGCTTCGTGTGGGCACCGCTAGGATGGGTATGCGGAGACTAGTCAGACAACCTCACACATGCGCCCACAAGCGCAAACGTCTGCCGCGTGCGAAGTCAGGCCGTTCTCGCCGCGCCGCTCAGTAAGCTGTGCCCCAGCGCCTTGCACTTCGAGCCCTCCTACATATAAGGCGTACCTCTCCGGGCACTCCCCATCGCGTCCCTTCTGAGCACACGACCTCATCTACATAGCGCTCCATCCCCCGGTGAGTCACTCCCTACAGAGTCCCTACTGTAGCTAATTTTCTTGTAAATCCAGGCACGCCCAAGAGGTTAGAGGTAATATGGCAACAGAGAGCGTTGGGGATCACCGTGGTGAGTGTCATATCTTGGGGAATCTGACAAGGTTGACCAACGCCCGGCTCAGACTCGCGCAATGTCTCCATCGCGTTTCCTAGCTCTCACACTACAACGAACTCTCTCATACCCGATCTTCAGAGCACCGGCGAAGGCTCATTTCTCAATCAGCCGGAAGAGAGGAAGTGCCGTCATGACGATGGCTCTTCCGAAGGCGAACAAGAGTCATTCCGCTCGCATTTGAGGCGGTTTGCCTATGTCCCTGGGGGCATTGCGACAGCACGTCCAGATGCGAAGAAAGCTGGCCTTCGCCACAATCTTCAGAGCTCATCTGTCCTCGCCGTTCCACGGCATAAGGCTCCTTCAAGGCCCGAACGTCGAGCGCAAACTGGTCCGCATGTAGACGTGAGCAAGCGACGGCTTGCGGACCTCAAGAAGTGCGTTTGTTGCGATCGGGAATGGACCGTCTTCAAGTCCTCCGCGGATAAAACTTCCCACCTACGCGATTGCGCTAAGAAGCGCAAGATCACTAATTTATCAGATCGTATCCTCAAAGAGCTGGATGAAGACTCGCGTCCGGCTGCTCCGCATGGGCGACTGGGAAGAACAGGACTTATCTCCGACCTATCCTCCTACACTCGCCTCGAGGATCTTGTCCACGGTGCCGCACGACAGAAGCGCAAGCGCCGCAGCGTGGCTACAGCTACGATTCAGCCGATTGCTCTGAATGAGCGTGACATTCTCGATCGCGCTCATGCCTTGCTACGGGGCGGGGCCACCTCTGTGACAAGCTCTACCACGGGATCGCGGGATGCACCAGAAGCCGTCGAGCCATCTAATTACGCTGTCAGTATTCTAGAGCTCATGGTCTCCATCGCATCGATTGACGACGCCTCCATAAAGCTCCCTCCAGCGACGCAACCATTCGGCGAGTCAAGACTGCGCGCTCGTCAAGCGCTGCCAGGCACTCCTGGCGACGCGGTGAGCACATCTCAAGTCCAGTACCATGAATACTGATGAAACATTCACAGACGCCTTCCCCAGACCATGAGCCTCAGCCCACGGGACGCTTCTACTTCCCGCCCCCTACATCGTTTTTCTTTGCCGAGAGACTTTAACATTCTCGGTTACCTTGTGGCACGCGTCCCGCAAGCTTACCAGCATCAAGCTTCTCATGCCATCCTTCTTCCATGCACAAACCGATGGAGCCTCCGAACGCACGGACAAGACCCTCGTCCAGGCTCTTCGGTACCGTGTTGGTCACTTACAAGATGGTTGGGCCGCGGCCCTCCCCGCCGTTCATTTCTTCATCTTCAATACCGTATCCGCCTCGACCGGCTATGCGCCATTTCAGCTCATCTTTGGCCGCCACCCTCGAACCCTGCCTGTTACCCTCGACGACGACGACGCCGCCGCCGCTCAGTGCGCCGCTGACTTCGGTTCGGCCGAGACCGAGGATGCCGCTGCGCTGATCAAATGCCCGAATATCGAATCCGCTGATGCGCGCGACGACCTCATCGCCGCGAAAGCGGACCAGGCCGCCCCCGCAAACAAGCACCGTTCTTCTGAACGCACCGCCCTGTCCGTCGGCTCTCGAATCCTCTCATCCACCTACCACCGCCGAGGTGAATTTGTTTCCGTCTTCGCAGACAAGAACAGCGCGGCGAAACTTTTTCCTTGCTTCGACCATAGACGACCCATGCACCGTCACACGCGCCCAACCCGCTATGCTCTTGACATCCCTAACGCTGCCGCCAACGCCTGCCTCACATTCCACTCGAGCCTACTCAAAACCTGTATCGGGCCGGATCCCGACCTCGCGCCCGACCACATTATCGAGCGCCCAGGCCGTCTTACGAATACCGAACACCAAATCCGCGACGTCATTGTGGAACAACGACGCGGCCGTGACTACGGCGTCCGCTGGGTCGGCTACGGCGACACGGACGTGGAGTGACTGCCCGGGGCAGCCCTCAAAGATAACGCCGCTCTCGATGTCTGGGAAGCCCGTAAGCGCGACCACGCGGCAGCCCAGGCGACGACGACGACACGTAGACTGCTGCCATCTTCGCCGAGACCTTTTGTGCTCTCTCCGAAGGTCTCCGCAGCTCACTACTTTCGAGATACTTCTCTTCTCTGCTCGATCTTCGTTGTATCCTTACTATCCCTCTGCTCTGGGCACGGCTTCGCGCTCGAAAAGGCAGCGCGCGCAGAAGTTGTCGAGTGGCATGTACTCAGTCTGTGTGCGTTGTACGCGCATTGGCGCCGCTCCGGGAGCTGTCGGCGCGAGATGGGGTGTCTGGGCCGTTAGCGAACAGGGCTGCAGCGGGCGCGCCGTGTTTTCGTAGATTAATTAATATTAATAAAATGAGTGTGTGTGCTATTCTACGAACTTCTGGTCAGATCTTTGCACAGGAAGAGCGCAGAATGGTGTGAGGATATACACAGTGCCTACTGAGCTACTGAAGGAGTCGCTGTAGTGCGCTGGTAGCAGACAGAGGGCGATACACTGATCGCGCCGACGAAGAATCTTCCCGAAAGGGGCGATATATCCAAGCCAAAGATATACTGTACCGGTAACGTAGTCAGCCTTTTGCCTCCGTTACCCGCCCGTTACCAAGACATTGGAGCGGTTCGTCCTGTAATGCGTGTAGTGCCAAGCATGAATACGGTTCAAGCCATTGATCGTTGAGCTCTCGTGATCGAATCTGGGGACGCGTCGGCTCCGGGCTGTGACACTGAGACTGCTTCGTCAAAACCTTCATGACTGGCGCTAAATCCCCCTCCTGCACTGGCGTGCAAGACCCTGAAACCAATGCCAATCAAGAGCAACCAATCTCTGCACTACCCTTGTCGCAACCTGGTTCACCATGGCAGTTCGTGAATAAAGACGTTTGTCAGTCGGAATACGAGTCGGCCGGACCAGGGCACGTCCCTGGGCCAGACACCACAATACAACATTCTCTAGCTCAGAGTAGCTTTGAGGAACTCCTGGGTGCGTTCTCAAAGTCGCACTCATCAGCATTGTTGCTCACGACTATGATAGGTATAGTTCAGACTCTCCAGTTTGAGTTGAAGTGTTTGCAGGACCATGTGACACATGAAGGCGACTATAGATTGGCTGCAGACGAGCGGGTACTGGATGCGGAACGGCGTGCAACAGAGGCCAGTCTGCGAGCAGTTGAGGCGGAGCAA